AGAATTATATGAGACTATATGACTATATGAGACTAAAAATATGATTTGGCAGTTAAAAACACTTCCTGAGACAATGCAGCCAGTCCTGATGAGACCTGATAGGCTAGTGTCAGATGGAAGGGGAGGAGGACCTCCCCTATCAGTGGACTTGGAGAGGGACATGGGAGGAGATGAGACAGGGAGGGTGGGGTTGGGAGGGAATGAGGGAGGGGGCTATAGCTGTGATACAAAGTGAATAAACTGTAATTAATATAAAAAAGTTTAAAAAAAAAAAAGTTTAAAAAAAATGCTTCCTGATCTTCCAGAGGACCAGAGTTCAGTTCTCAGAACCCAAGTCAGATGGATCACTACTGCCTGTAACTCCAGGGGATAATATAACACCCTCTTCCTGCTCTGCTCTTCCTGCTCTTCCTAAATATTCTCTCTCATTCTCTCTCTCTCTTCTTTCTCCATACAATAAAAATGTTTTTAAAAGAACATTTTTAAAAAATATATGAAGACAAATTCCATCAAGGAGGACAATTTCCTGTATGGGTTGAAGAGGGACAGATATACAAGAAATAGAAGATGGTGGGAGGTGGCAGTCATGGGTAAAGATGGCAGGCTAATGTCATTAGGGAACAAAATTTCTATTCTGGTTAAGTGACCACTTTAAGGTTCTACTTTTACATTGTTACTTTTAGATTGTTACTTAATTTACTTCTTCATAACTAAAGAGCAAACTTATGTTCCTTATCTTTCAGCTTAAGATACTATTTTGTGTGTGTGTGTGTGTGTGTGTGTGTGTGTGTGAGATGTATGAGGTAAAGAATACATGTGTCACAGTGAACTTGTGTTTATGTGGGTTCCTGAGGTCAAACAGAGGTCAACAGGATTCTGTGGTCACCTGAGCTCTCTTACCTATTACTGACTTCCTAAAATAAGCACGTTTTCTTTTCCGATGTGCCAGGCATGAACACACTCAAACCACCACTCACTTCCCCACTTGTTTTATATAGCGCTAATGAAGTATATTTTAAGAAAAGTGGAAAAGCAAATGTTTGCTCCAATAATAATTAGAGAGAAGGGCACTATCAGAAGAATTGCAAACCCAGGTCTCAGATTACCCATGGCAGCTGAATTTCAGATCTTCAAGACTTCCTTCTTCTTTATAATTGTGTGACATCACTCAACATCAGTTCACACTGTATTTTAACACTCTTGTCAGGAAATGGAAGATGGTTAAAAGTGAGTATCCAGCCACCTTTCTCTGTCCGTGTTTACAATGATAGCAGGCAGCCTAGTCACAGTAGACAAAAGGAAGCTACTCATACCTGACAATGGATAATCAGAAAACCGCTTGGGATATAAATGTGCAAGGAATATTACTCCTCTCTAAAGGAGATTCTGAAACTTTGTACAACATGGATGAATGTTGAATAAATTACACTTAAAAAAAAATCCAGTTTCTCAAGAACAAGAAATATTCCATAGCACAAAGTACCAAGAGTAGTAAACTTTAAAGAGACAGGACAGAGTATTTCCCAGAGGCTGGGGGAGTAATTGTCTAGTTCAGACTTTGGGATGGATGAAAACTAGCAATGGATAGGGTTGGGAGTCATATAAAACTGTGGATGTCTGTAATGTATGTAGCATTCGCAGAACCATAGAACTTAAAGATATATAGGATGGAAGGCCTGAGAGATGGCTCAAAGCTCGCGCCGCTGTTCCAGGGGACTGGAATTGGGTTCCCATTACCCACATCAGGTACCTCACAGCTGCCTGTAACTACAGCTCCAGGAGATTCACACTTACTTCTGGCCTTCAGCCCTCCCTCTACTCCATGCATGTGTGTATACATAAAGACACAGGTACATAAAATAAGCCTTAAAATAAGATAATGAATTTCATACACAGTTCAATACAATTTAAAAAGAATAGCATCTGGAAACCCTTTAGGGTTTTCCTGTGTCCACAAACATCCTTGCCCTCTTCTGAAGCAAACTCACACTTTTCCACCTAAGTATAATCTTATCGTAGACCTATAAATTCCAATGTAGTAAGGGTTTTTAAATTTTTAATTAAAAAATGCA